GCATTAATTTGACATTTGTATATAGAATATTATGCAACATTTTAAACTGGAAATTCTGAAGTTTGGTGTCATCAGTAAGAAGTCTAGGAGATAAGTAGTAAGTTTGCCATGCTTCATCAGATATATTAACTTGCAAAACCTCATTCCATTTTCCTTGACTCATTGTTTAACAACAAAACAATAATTTGTTAAGGTAGTATCAATATCATATTTTTCTGTGAACATTTCAAAAGACCTAAAACTGTTATTTATTACAAGATCGTTAAACACCACTGTCTATAAAAAGTAGGTCTTCTATCTATTTTAATACAGTCATTATACCAGATAGGTTGGGAAACAATTTGTTGTGGGGTTGAGGGTGGTTTATTTTCTACAATGGATGACCATATACATAACATTTCTTTCCAAAAAGTGTTAAAAAAAATTGAACTTCTAACTAATCCATCTTTAGTCATTCTGAAAATGTTATCCCTGCCAAATAATTCTATCTTATCTAATACTTAAGTCTTCCAAGGCGAGCAATGAATGGGATTTAAAAGCTTTTTTATCCAGGAGATCTTCAGTGCATGACAAAAAGATTTAACATGAGGAACTCGTAATCCACCTTCATTGTAATCGCCATACATAACATTTCTTTTAATTTTATCAATCTTCCCTTTCCATATAAAATTAAAGATAGTCGACTGAATATCTCTAAAAAAAATCAGGTGGATCTAAAAGTACAGTTAAAGTTTGTATTAAAATTGGTAAAGCTAAAGATTGTATTACTGTATCTCTTCCAATGTATGCAAGATTCCTAAAGGACCAATTACCAAGCAGATTTTTTATTGACTTTAATTTTTCTATGAAATTATCCTCATATATATTTTCCTTTTGAAAGTTATATGTAATTTAATGCCCAGTAATTTAAACTTCCCCTGATAATTCCAAAGTAGATTTCTATGGGGAAGAATTTCCAACCCACAACCCCGTCTGGATCCAATCCATATGGCTTGCGTTTTCTCCATATTAATTTTAAGTCCGGAAACTACTGCAAAATTTTCTAAAGTAACTAGAACTGTTTCCAATACATAAGGATCATCTGAGAGACTGAATGATGTATCGTCTGCAAATCGATTTACTAAATACTCAGAATTACTTATATTTATACCAGTTATGTCAGGGTTTAATTTAATTGCTGCACTTAGCAATTCAACACATAAAACAAAGATATACGGACTAATGGGATCCCCGTTGTATTTCAAAACAAGTTCTGAACAATGTCCATTATTTGCAACGCAACAGGTATTGTTCTTATAAAATGTTTCGATCCACTTAATAATTGATGGACCAAAATTATAGAATCGTAATGTTTCGAATATAAAATTTGATTCTAAAGATTCAAAAGCTTTCTCAAAGTCTATTAGTAAAAGCAAACCTGGAATATTTTCTTTTTCAGTGCAATCCAATAAGTCACCTAATAATCTAGTGCATTCCCCTATGTACCTTCCCTTAATAAACCCTTTTTGTGTTTCGCTAATAAGAATATATAAAACTTTTTTTAATCTACTTGATATTACAGAAGAACCTACTTTGACCTCAATGTGACCATGACCTTGACCGTATTGACCCAAGAGTACCCTACACACCGCCTTACCATCCTACATATTCAGTGCATCAAAAAATTTGGCTGGCTACAACAAATATGACCTTTGACCTCAATGTGACCTTGACCTTGAACAGAAGGACAAAAGGACAGCAGTTAAAAGCTCCCATAAAAAAAAATCATGGAGCATAAAGAAACAAGTCTTGTATTGTTCACCTTGATGTTTAACTCATTCACCCCTGAAATTTCATAATGAACTATTCCAACCTTTGAATTGGAAGAGTTCAAATGTGTCTTCAGGGGTGAATGAGTTAAGCAATTAAGGCAAAATGTTCTCATTAAAAATAATATTGCAAAAGTATCCTCAGTTTGTTCTCATTCTTTCTGGTATCAAGGATGCTACAAAGCAAATCTGGTTGTAATTAGTATATATATATATGTGTATGATTATAGAGTTGCCTTTTGGTATTTCAGCCGTGACCAAGTCCTGAATATGAGTGTATCAATATTAAATATTTATCTGTTCATACAATGCAATTGCATATATATATATGGCTATAAGGTAGGGATCTCAACTCTTTCCATGTAATGATCCGGGGAGGGAGTTCCTAGGGATAGAGCCAGACGCTGGACCAAGACAGAAAATATGATCGAGTTTGTCTCTTCTGCATGTATGGGTATAGTATAGGAATCTCTACCAGATTCATGTTCTGCCTTAGGAAAAGCGTAAAATCAACTTTTATCTATTCACATTTTATTATCAATAAGTGCAAATTTGCAGTATTACAAGGCTTTTTAGTAATACAAAGTCAGAGAAGATAATCAAGTAACTTTCTGAGGAGAAATTAAAATAAAATGTGTTTTTTGTAAAATTTGAATTTTTGTTCAGTACAATTTGTATCAGTTGGTATATTGCGACTAAATATTTGTCTGTTAAGTGTAATTAGTGCAAATTTTGAAGATATCAGAATATTTTCATCTTGTGGGAAATTTAACTATATGTATTTTCAACCCTACAAACTGTTAGGAAAATGGTGAAGTTGGGGGGAAAATATTTGTTTCCTTCTCAAAAACTGCAAATTTATAGTACATGTATCACTGTTTTTTAGTCATAAAAGATAGCAAAAGAAGATACATCGAATATATTGTTCCTTCGGAATTTTCCACCCTAGACGAGAGTACCGCGGGGCGGAACAATATACGCCCGTTGAATACCATTTAGTGTTATATACTTTCTTACATAGAAATAAGATCTGCATCATTCAAAGAGTGGTTATAAGCCAACATGCTATAATCTCTTCAAATACTGAAATGAACAAAGGGCAATAACTTTTGCAAAAATCGTCCAATCAAAATTCTTTTCAAGGAAACACAACAACATATCATGATTATTTAGCCTACTAAGTTTTAAAGAGATCCATTGAAAAATGTAGGAGATTGCCGGACAAAAATCAAATACTGAAATGAACAAAGGGCAATAACTTTTGAAAAGATTGTTGAATCAAAATTCTTTTAAGGGAGACACAACTTCACATCATGATTATAATGTATACCAAGTTTAATCAAAATTCTTTTAAGGGACGGACAACGCCATCCATAATACTCCTGTCAAATTTGATAGGCGTTTTAAAAATGGAGGAAATGCTAAAAATTTACAAGAATTGAAATTTTCCAAATACATTTTTTTCAGTAAATGAACATTTACAGTATTACACTACTTTATTGTCATACAAAGTCATAGAAGATTACCAAAAACTATTGTTTCAATGTCATTTTTGCACGAAAAACTGTAAAAATACTAAGCCAGCTTTGTTGTAAGAAAGTGCTGGTTGATCCTATATTGTAACCAATGCATTTAATTATATACTTATTTTCCCCATATATTTTTTATCAAAATCTTCTTCCCAATTTTTTCCTGCCTGTTGAGAATGTATTGTTTTTACAGAGTTCACTGTGATATTCCCTTACCCAATTTGGCTGAAAGGTCATGCTGGGATCATGTTAATTTCTACATTCTAAATCTGTTCAGTTTTACAATGTATTAAGTCATAAACTGTTATTATATTTTTATCATTCCAGTTCAGGTCAGTTTAAATTTTCCCATTGCAAATTCCATTTAGAATAAATATCGTCACTGTATTTTCTACTTATCCAAATTATCGGTTCTCCCTATATTAATTTTGTCTAAAAGATTTTTGCAAATTCTGCTAGTTCATTTATTGCTTCCTTTTTTAAGAGCCATCAAGAATTATTGAAGTGTCATCGGCATACTGTGGCAGTTATCCCTTTAAATTTGTGTTATCTCTGATTGTGACAGTCTGTAAGTGTAATCATGTGGGTCAAGGTGTAACCATGTGGGTCCAAGTGTAACCATGTGGGTCAAGGTGTAACCATGTGGGTCCAAGTGTAACCATGTGGGTCCAAGTGTAATCATGTGGGTCAAAGTGTAACCATGGACAGTGCAGCCTACACCATGCCGTCTGGCTGGTCCAGAATTATCTGTTGTTAAAATACTAATAAATTTAAATCAAATAGGATTTATATTTCTATATTTAATTGATATGATAGAGCTGCTCTCTTCTTCAGAAGATATTTGACCTCTGTGACATTGAAAGCAGACCAAAGTAAGTTTTGTTCGAAAACCTTGTTTGGCGCCATCGAAGGAAGCTACCATGGCCCAGTTAGGTAAGCTTAATCAGCGATTAGCACAAATTATATTATTTGTGTATCTTTAAAACAAATATTATATTAGTGTTAAATTAAACACTAAATTAGTTTATCTTGTTCATTGACCAAATTATTGCAGGTTGGAAAATGTTGTTAGTGATTAAGCTAATCTTCTTTTGAACAAGTGTGCCCAGGCCTTTTGGTTCTTTAGATGAAGTTGTTTCAAGGAAAAGTGACAACGGCGGTTGGGCCATGGCAAAAGCTCTTCTGATCAACTTCAAAATGAAACATGCAAAACTAATGACTTCTAAAAAACCAACATATGAAATCTGATGAAGATCTCTCAAGTAATTTTTGGTGGCCTTCCTGTTTGTCTCAAATTGGATACAAGTCTCAAAATGGATGCAATTTTTATGATTCACCATTGGAAACGTACATGTGAAATTTGAAAAAGATCCCTCTTGTACTTTCCGAGAAATAGTGCTTAAAAGAATTGCTCAACTATGGAAAGACAGATGAAGGGTGATTTGAACAGTCTACCATCTGATGATGGTTGGCTCATGTATGTATTTCTTTAATATGTAACTCTAGTAAATTGCAAAACAGAAAAATGTAAAAATTGAAACTCTTCTTCATTGGAGTTACAATGAAGAGAGCTGGAACTCTACATTAAAGGTGTATGCAGTATGCCTCGGTAAAAGTAAAGTTTCCTGTTGTGGTAAATGATGCAGAAGATTTTATCATGTGTGTTGTCTGTAGTTTGCAGGATATTTCAGAATGTAGATTTTTGTTTATTCATTTTCATAAACAAGGAGGATACATCTGAATTTTGTTTTCTGATTTTAATGATGTGGTCCCAATGGGGTGGTGGTTCTTTATGGTCCAGGGTCGTCCTTCTGGATGATCCCAGATTTTGTCCTGCACAAAAGAATGAACAGAAATTCAATTTTTGGAAGCAATAGTTTGATTACTATTATTTACAAGATTATAATAAGCGTAGCCTTAAATTTCTTCAATTTTTCCAGGAGACCTCATGTATACGTACATGTAATCAAAATTTCTGAGCTTCTTAAACTTGTATTTAATGGTTCATGTATCACTGTATGGTTGTGGATACTGTATTATAATAAACGAGATCTGCATAATTATATAACTTACTTTCAAAAGAGCAACATCCACATTTTCAGTCTGAAATTGTTTTTGACAAAACTGTCACTGGGGCCATGGCATCTATCAGAAGATAGGTAATTGAGATGATGTCAGTAACTATCTGGAAAGAAAAACATGACTTTTAATACTAAAGCTGCTGTTACTGGGGGATAAAGAAATAGAGGATCTAACAAGGGTCAAACAGATTGATTTTAGTGACCTTCATAAAGCTCATACATTGGAAACAAATGAATTTTAGATTTTGTTCATCACATACATGCAATCAAGATTTGTTGAAAATATTAGCGAAAACAACATCTCAGACTGACTTGAAATCTGAAATATCTAAATTTTTAACCAAGCGTTTCTCTTTTGTAAGTTTTCATCCAGAGTTAAATAATAAGTATGCTTGAATATCAAATCATGGAAACATGCAAATATGATAACAAACCTTTTTCTTGTTGTTTTTCATGGTCCTGTTGGGATTGTTGTTCTTTGTGGTCCTGGCGTGGGTTGTCGTTCCTCCTGGTCCTGGTGGGGGTTGTCGTTCCTCCTGGTCCTGGTGTGGGTCGTCGTTCCTCCTGGTCCTGATGGGAGTTGTCGTTCCTCCTGGTCCTGGTGGGGGTTGTCGTTCCTTCTGGTCCTGATGGGGGTTGTCGTTCCTCCTGGTCCTGATGGGGGTTGTCGTTCCTTCTGGTCCTGATGGGGGTTGTCGTTCCTTCTGGTCCTGATGGGGGTTGTCGTTCCTTCTGAGGTGGTTGTTATTCATGGATGTAGATTTTTTTCCTGCAAAAAAATATGAACAGAAATATTAAAATAAACTAGGGTTGTGGCCAGACCCCTGGGAAATCCTGGAAACATGTGCATTCTTCTCTTCATTCTCAGCAAGTGTATATATGGTTATAGGGTGGGGATCTCAACCATTTCCAAGCAATATACAATTTTTGGCCCCACCCTTTAGCCAAGGGGGTCAGCCCCACTATTTGTACAGTTTGAATCCCTGGATCTCATGAATGCTTCCAACCAAATATGATTGATATCCAGTGCATAGGTCTACCAAAGAAGTCATTTAAGCAATATAGCCAAATTGTCCCCTTTTGGCTCCGCCCCTCGGCCCCCTGGGGGGTTAACCCTACCATTTGTACAATTTTGAATCCCCACCACCTAGGGATGCTTCCAGTCAAATTTAGTTCCAATCAGTGGTTAAGAAGAAGTCGTTTGAAGAAATTGTTGACGTACGGACTTACCACGGACGCCACGGTATGGCATAAGCTCACCTTGGTCCTTTGTATTGTTGTTTTGTAGATATTTCGCAAAGCGTTTGATTTTGTCAACAGGTTAAGCTTATGGCGCAAGTTGACTAGGCTTGGTATTCGAGGGAAAATGTTGTCTGTTATTAAGTCGCTTTATAAATCAGTCAAATCCTGTGTTTCAATTAATGGGAAACTTTTTAAAAAAACAAGGTCGGTTTATTGCAAGGGGAAATTTTGTCACCATTACTGTTTTCACTTTTTATCAATGATTTTGAAATGTCCTTTATTGAAAACGGTGCAACATATTATGACTTCGGTGAGTTAAGTTTGTTTCTGTTAATGTACGCAGATGATTTGGTTATTTTTTCGGAATCTGTACAGGGTCTGCAGACTCTTCTTGATAGCCTTTTTGAATACTCTACAAAATGGAGTTTAACTGTAAATACGGAAAAAACAAAAATTGTAGTTTTTGGAAAAGGTGGAAGATTACATAATGATGAAAAATGGTATTACAAAGGAAGTAAGGTTGAATGTGTGGATCAATTTCCTTACCTAGGTGTTATTCTAAATTACAATAATAAATAAACTTCTATCCAAAAACTATTAGCTATCCAAGGGCGAAAAGCTATGTGTGCATTATTTTCAAAGTGTTCATCATTAAACTTAAATTTAAAAACTATGCTACACCTTTTCGATACATATGTAAGCAGTATCCTTTTTTATGCAAGTGAAATTTGGTGTATGCACAAAGCTCCAGAGATAGAACATGTACATTTACATTTTTGTAAGAAACTACTAAAAGTGAAGAAATCGGCCAATAACATGGTATATCTTGAATTGGGACGATTACCTCTAGTTTGTATGAGAAAAATTAGAATGATGAAATATTGGTTTAAGATCTTCAAATCTGAAAATTGTAGCATTTCCACTTCCTATCGATTTTTATTAATCGTGTAAACTAGGAAAATTCATCTATGAGGCAAACAAATTAAGGGTATTATAATGGAATATGATTGTCTTCATTCTCTGTACATTGTCCATGATTTGTGTATAATATGTATTGTGTATTGTATACTGATGGGCCAATGGCCTAAAGTTTGAATAAAACTTGAAACAAAACTATGTGTACAAAGTATCATTCAAATTGGAGCAGTACTTTGGGAAGTGTGGTGTTTTTCTTTAAACTGGTGTAGTGTGAACAATGTTGTGTCTACCGACAGATGGACAAACAGCCCGATTCCAGTTAACTTTGCTAAACTTCCTTTCTTTGCAAAGTAATTTAAGAAAATCCATCTGTTTTATATTAGTGTCCAGCTACACTTACCTTGGTTTTTTTATGGGGCATTCTCTCCGTCCTGAGGTCAGGATTCTTCAAACTTGTGTCATCTCGACAATAGACAGACTTCCCAGCAAAGAAGATAGATGAAGCCTCAAGAGGATTTAGTCATGTCCCAACTAGTTTTGTCAATTCTTTCACAATGTATGGAAGTCCAGACACAAACAATCATCCTTCACAAGATTTACAGAGCAGAACAACACACATGGCGGTCCATTGGTCCATCAAGCCCGACCGCACAGGCCTGACGTCCCAATCATGATGCTGTAAGGCCATACTCGTGTCAGATTCATGTCTGTATTTGGAATTAAATGCATTGTCAAAGAAGGGACAGTTCCAAGTTGAGAAATGACTAAACCAACTGAGTTCCAAATATTTCCATTGCTAAGTCATCCATCTAGAGTTAAGACTCCACGCATTCGAAGACCCTGACCAGGTGACTGTCCGAGACGTTGGACAATCTCCTACAAAAAAAACCCAACTCAATCACATAACAATCTTTTTTTCCCCATCACCAATCTGATCTTGTGAAACAGTTCTTTTTTAGCATTGCTTTTGCTTATGCAGTCAAAAATACAATTTATGATGTATATTTGTAACAAACATAATTATATAACAGCACTTTAGTTAATTGTTTTTTTAAAACTGAATGTCCTTAATTCTCATCTGATGTACTGCTATGTAATAGGTAGCGGAATAATCATACTCTTCCATTTCAACAATGAGAAATTGATAAAAGAAATCTATAAGTGACCTTGACATCTGACCTCTGATGCATAACACACTTAATCAGCACCGTGACCTTGAAACATTTTTTTTTAATTTGCAGTCTGTCTTCATAACTCAAACTTTTTGTAAATTTGCTGATAAACAGATGTTTCAACTCTGCATCAAGTGACCTTGACCTTTGACTTTCCGAATTCTCTCTAATGTCTTAAGGAAACAATTAAAGCTGGTTATTTTGTTGACCTCTCTTCTGCAGCGATTACGTTCAAGTTCTGAGGAGCGATGTATGAGATTATTAAAAAAGGTCAACATTTTAATGCTTTTAATTCACCCCTTCTTATTTACAGTATGTAGTAATTACACTTTTCAGGAAAAAGAAATAATTGAAAGAGAGAGCAAATAAAAAAGTGAAAAGTATCAAGCTGTTTTCTTAACAAAATTTGTATATTTCAGGTTACATGACTGAAAATAATAGTGTAGGTCAGGTTTTCTTTTCTTTTTCTTTCCGAGAGGGCTAACTTATGAAATTACAAAAATCACCAAACATATTTTTAGGTCTTTTATGTAATAATATGGGGTTTAAATTTGGTTTTGACACCAGCCTATGAAGAAGAGAGGGTTTATATACAGTTGCCTTGTTTATTCATCCATCAATTTATTTGCATCTGATGGACAAGTTATCCCAATCAATTTTGGATGGAGTGCATTTATGCGAGATAGAATTGTTTGCGTCGAAGGTACAAACTAGGGTATAGCGGGGTACCTGAAACACACATTTGTTTTTTTGGTCCTTATATATTTCCTTCTATTTCTTGTTTATTTTCCAGTTTACCAATAAAGATGGGTTCTTGTGCTAGATATTACTCCTGTCAATCAGTTATATATTTCCTGTATACTGTATTGCAATGAAAATTATCGCTTTCATACTTGATAGGGAAAAACCCGAGTGATTGCTCAGTTACGTGATGCAATAGTCAATCATAAATGATCTGCAATTATCAATGATTTGAGAATAAATGAAGGTTCTTATGTTGATGAATTGAATTAACACAATGTATAGACAATGGTGGCAGTGGGATCTTTATGACCGGATTATAATATCGTAATTGTAATATCACTCTATCGGTCTATCATTCAGGTTTTTTGGTAATGAAGTTTAGAGGTAAACATGACTATTACCATATCCTACCCGGCATTTTTCCAGAACTTATCTTTTGAATTTCACATCACGCATGGTATTTATGAAAATTTCAGAGTTTATTTGATAGTGGAAATAAAACCACGATGCTTTTGTCAGCTAGAACCCATCTTTCAATGTAAAAGTTAATCTTTTCATCTAAACTCTGCACAATAATGAAATCCTCATACCTTCAGGAAAAGGCACTGATGCTTCCGATGAGTCCATTAAAGTCGTGGAACCCAGCATCGTACTGTAAGAGAAATGTACAATGATATATATAAATACAATTTACGCATTGATATATCAAAACAAAGTTATAATTATAAATTTGCCATCGTTGCGAAGGGCAAAAAAGGCACAAATTAAAATGCAGTAATTATTTCCAGGAATAAAGTAGTAATGTCTCTAATAACAACAGTTTCCTTGTTTCACAATAGATACAAGTGTTTTTGGCTGGTGGTGGGGTTGGGTTGAGGATAAACAATGCCTTGTAGTATCTATTTAGACAAGCACAATGTTCAGTGATTGAAAGAGCAAGATGAAAGATACTATAGATAGACAGATAACTGAATAAATGTATGAAAATATGCACTAAGTAGGATGATGATGGAAACAAAAGCACCACAACCAAGGTAGACCTCATTCAAGATTTCTTGAGTATTAAGACTTGGTTACCATAAATTAGCATTCATACATCTATTAAGGTAGGTGACAAACATCCATCTCAAGTAGTGTTAGTATTCAAGACAATAAAGTAGAGGAAACTATCAAATGTTGGCGGACAAAACCATATTGAAATGAGACCGTTTTTTGACCTTCTGTTGTCGATGACATTGACCTTTGACCTTGTTATGCATCAAAGACATGTCTTTAAATGAAGGCAGGAGAGCTGTGATAAAGACAGACTTAATAGATGATGCAGGGTGTAACACGTACTATACATCAGGTTGTTAACTGGATATAATAATCAAAGAGGATGGACAATCAAACAAATAGGTAAACAGCAAAGATACCTGTGTGAGCAGAAAAATGTGAAAAGATCAACAATGAGAAATTGAACAAAAGACATCCCAACATGTAATAAGGTACTAAAGGGAAATTGTGGACAAAGTTCCATACAGATAATAAAGGGCCATAACAACACTGGTGAAATTAACACACCTCCAACTCCTTTTTCCCCCAAGATGCGCAAGGATTAAGTTTGGTTAACATAAGTGAAAGAACAAGAAATTTATGCTCCTGACAAAGTTTTAAATACTAAATCATCAAAGGACTATTACTCTGCAGAGTGGTACAAAAGACCTGTGACAATATTCCTGAAAACATTCTCATGCTCAAGCATGGACTCTGGGCCCATGAAACAATCTTTCTTGTGACTTGCTTGAATAATTTAACATGTTCAAAAAGACAAATGTTAACAATAAAAATGGTCTCCTAAGAATTCCTCCAAATCACTTACAAATGTGATGCTTATGAATTTATCAGCTAAACAAGATATTGGGCTTGAGCACAGAATCTGAGTTTGAGCTTGAGAACGGATTCATGAATACTGATACTGGCCCAGATCTTGTATTCATGAAACTGTTATCATGCTAAAGTGTCGTGTCAATTCTCTGCTTGCACCAATTGTCTTATCACTTGCTTAAATCATCTGACATGGCAAAAAAGTAAAGACTATTTATCGAAAACAATTCATTAAAATATCACAGGAACCAAAAATTAAATTGGGAAGGAGCACACAATCTGAGTTTGAGCATGAAAATGGTTTCATATACACAGGCCCTGATTACAGAATGGAACACTTGTTCTTTTCCAAGATCTATAAACCGGAAGGCAAAGAAAAAATAAGTCTGATAACTTCATAGTCTTGATAGTTTCAAGGCATTATTATTTTTTATTTATCTGTAAAGAAGGGCTGGTGTGAGCTAAAAAAAAACATACATCTTCTAAAATCAGGTAATTCAATTTGATATTTCTTACCTTGCCTAACGGAATTTCCCCGCTCTACGGCGACATAGACCTGCCACTATGTCACACCCTTGGGCACTTAGCACGGCCCTTTTGACTGCCTCCACACTGTGGCTAAAACAAGAAATTAACTTAATTAAAAATTAAAATCATAAAAAGACTGTCTTTGAAAGCTCTATTGAAACAAGACTTAACTTGTCAGAACGGTAACACAAGTGTCAAAATTAGATTGGATGAAAATTGGCATGTAAAATCATCAGCAGACTGTTATTGAAGCAAAAACAGAAAAATATAAATAACAGCACCAAATCAGCTCCAACTTACACAAATTTTTACATTGTTATTTACCTCAGTGTGAAGAAAGTCAAACCAGAACGAAACATGGCAGTGTCTCAGTGCCACCTCCAGGCACGTCCCCCGTGTCCTTCATGAAAGAAAATTAAGATAAACATGAGATTTTCTTTCTTATGAAACCAACTACATTTATAGATGGGATTAAATACTCAGGTCTGAACTGAATATGATGACCAATTTTGATGAAAAATATTTTTCAAAATTTTAGCTACATTCAATCAAGGTCAACGTTGAAGGGAACAGAAATGAACTGCAATGAACATTTTACTCCTTCAGTTTCATAATTATATCCAAGAGTGTCAATTACCTTCTTTGGACCGGGGGCATATGGAAAGAGATCGGGAGGGGCAACGATCTCTGCGCCATGGATGGCGCTTCCTCCGGGTGAGATCGGGATGAAGGCGTCGATCTCTGCGCCTTGGACGGCGCCTCCTCTAAAAATACACAACAATATACTTGATTATGTTATGCTTGATGAACAGGCACTTCATGGAATGAGTTGTTTGGTAGCACTGGTCTACATTTAATCAATTTTAATAGTTTTAGATGTATTTTTCTGAAAGTTTTCATACATTTCTACTCTTGAAAACTAGCTGTATAGTATATATTACCTTGATTGAATCTTTTTTTGTGGGGATATATATATATGATTATGTGCAACTTATAGTTTGTTTTTTCTAAACGTTACAAAGACCAAGATTTACATGCAGCCATCATTGATATGTTAATATTGATATAGAAAATGTTTGTAAAATATACATGTGCCAATTTGATGGAAATGGAGCTATAACCAAATTTAATGTATATATCAGAACGCAAAGTCTAACCAAGTTGGTGAAGTTGAAAATACAGTCAATATTGTCATATAATTATTAATGAAATGTGTTCATGCAATTATTTACCCTCCTCCGGGGGCTGGCAGGCCCTGATAGTCCGTCAGTCAGATATTCTGGACCAGATGACCTTTACCCTAGTCAGACTTTCCGACGCAAGAGGTACTGTTGCAAAAATAGATTTATTCTACTTCAGCTGCACCCATCCATCCAGTCACAAGAGAATTTAACCCCAGCTCGGAAACAACCAATATGAAGCACTTGACTCAGTATGATTACATGTTCCCCTCAGGACTATCACGGAGGGGTACATGATATCGGATCCCTACATATAACCATAAAGGTCTTTGTACCTCAATAATGGAGTTCGCCAGGGTTAAAAACTTTGTTAAAGGAGTGAATAATGCAACTGAAATGTCATAAATCTATCCAGCTTCAGATACCCCAGACGCCAAATCACCCAACTAGATCTCAGACCACCTTCCTAGATATATCTAACCAGGGTTCTGTCCACTTACAGCAAGACAGTCCTGTAAAAAAAATCATATCAGCATCATTTTGATAAATTTTACATAAATTGGTAGAAGGAAATGAACTAGTTGGAAATTTTCTTTGTAGTATTTTGCTAGTTTTCCCCTACTGGGCCAAAACCTCCCAGCCCATATCTAATATTCCAGATGTATCAATGGTGTGAATTTGGTTAAGTCTTTGAGTAAAATCCTTTAAGATACCATAGATAACACACAGCTAAAATGCAAAAACATTAATGAGGATGCCTTAACAGCTGCTGGACCATGATCATGATCTTAAGTAGCCAAGATAAAAACTAGGGTCCAAATTTGGTTTTGTCTAGTACTTAAGTCCACTGAATTCAGTTATCATACGAAGTTGCACCCTTGGCCCTATAACAGTAACATAAATATGGTAAAGCTGAAAAATTTGCATTACAACATCCCACTCATCAACATAAATATATAGGTATTCCGCTGTCCTCTCCCTCACAGATCACCAATATTTTGCTCCAAAAATATGAAATTAATTGCATTTGAAAATGAACTAATTATCTGAACTATCATTTCACAGTTCATAACCCCATGGGACCAACACATAAACTCCGACTCAAAAAGTAGGGGATGGGCTTATAACAGGACAATGGAATAGCTTTTGTNGACCGTTAAGGCCCATGGGCCTCTTGTTATTTAACTGACATAGGTATGGGTAGTGGGTTCATTGCCAGATAAAAATGGTATCTCCTGCATACCCCTCAGGGAGCTACCATTATTATGGATAAGAATAAAACTGACTGTTTGATTTAGACTGTCATAATCTTTATTACTCTCGACCCATCTTTTAAAACATTTTTTTACAGTAAAAAAAAGTATTTATCAAAATAAAGAGCCATTGGTGGCTGTATTTCATAGCCCAAAAAAACCCATGGTTACCCAGTTTAGGTTTGGAAAAAAATTCTAACCGTTGCAGCCCTAATTACAGTAACCTTGACCTTAAAAACCCCTTATTTGCACATGTACATATCACAGTGTATCACCATGTAAAATTTCAGACTGATTAGTCAAGTGTTGATGGACGGACAGATGGACAATGTGATTACTATAGGGCATGCCCTAATTAATCAATATTTGAGAATTTGAAATAACACAAAGAAAAGTAATTGTTAAACTAAAGACAATTACAATAGATCACACAAGCCTGATTACCTAAAAATGTGCAAGTATTGTAACAGTATCACTAGAGTAACCTCCCTTATACGTTCATGTCGATGTATGTGTATTATTCATGTACACATACCAGGTACGAAAGTATAAGGGAGGTAACTCTAGTGATACGGTTACAAGTATCTAGCATCGTAAATTGGTTTGATATTAAATGATTAGATAACCTTTACATATGACAGGTGTACGTGAAACAAACATTTTTAAGAATATACACGTAATGAAACCCTCAATTCACATGGGTGCTTGAATAGTACCACGATTAATTAACACATACATGTACAGGCAAATGAATGAAATAAGGCAACTATAATAGCGAAATTGCTCATGATCTGCACGACATGTTGAAATTGAATGTTCATAAAAGGCTTGTTGAACACATGTGTTGTATCAAATGCAAATTAACAGAAATTATTGTGGTACACAACTGCAACAAGTCGATCTTGGAGAGTGAATTGGAATTCTTCAGTGAGACTGAATACATACAACTTTATGAAATACAGCAATGTTAGATAATAAATAGCAAACATATTTACCTGTCGGTCTGGGGTAGTTCGCTTGCGACATTGGTAACAGGTCGGCTGCACCTAATGTCCATCCTGCAAATAAAAATAATATATATTCATGATTATCTCCCTTGAAATGCGAGCAAAATCTGAACAGTTGGTATATAATTGCACTTAGAATTTACTCAAATCATGAAATAAAATTCAAATACGGCATTATCAATCATCAACTATTTTAATTCAAGTTGAATGTATTCGAATTTTCATAATTTTTGAATATCAATTTAAATACAGTGTTTGACTGAAATCAGGATTTCTTTCATGTTATCTAATAATACATCACCCAGCGATGAACAAAATAGGCGAGTTCACTTTGTAGAATTTTTAAATACCTATTCTGGTAAACAGTGAAACTTCCACATGATCACCCATTAACTGTATATATCAGACTTAAGAACATGCAGATATTTACTAGTAACAACTACACTTTTCAAAAGGATAAATAATACCCACATGGTTAACATATTTGTACATTAATATGTATACATTAATATACATACCAGAACCGCTGACGGATTTCCCTTGCTGTTTTCATGGACGACGCTGTAAAGAAGAGCGAAGAATTACATTTTTTTTTTTTGATGAATGGGACCTGTGACTTCCGAATTAGAAAATTTGTGTTGCAATTAACCAAATTAAACTTCTTTTTTCCCCCCAAAGTATCATCTTAAAGACTAAATATCCTTATTTATGAAAAAAATATTTCATTTTATACAAAATTTCATTCATTTATTTTATTAAATTTAGAATATTTTTAAGATATCATGGGG